TGTTTTAGATATTGAGGATACTTTTTATTTTTTGTTCACCAAATGAAGCCCATGCCAATTTTGTTCATCTCTTTATTTCTATACTTTGGTTGCCTATATTTAATTATATTTTCTGTCCCAATATAGACAAGGCAACAGCTGCATTGGATGATTGAAGTGCAAGAAATATTTTCACAGCCAGTGCATCTTGGCGACTCTGGGCTTTATGGTTCAAGGAATAGAAGAAATGGTATATGCTGATTGCAACAACAACGCTGGGGTATCAATCTCTGATAAATTGAAGCTCTACACCCAAAATAATGGACTACTAAGTACCTTGGTGATTAGCCTGAATGAAATTATTGACCTTCTCATAAAAAGGTGTTTGAATTGGAGCAGAAGTTGGAAAATACTTGGAATAAAGTATCTTTATTTTAAGAAATCTATCACAATGGGTCTCACTGGAGACTGTATGTACTATGTATCATTCCATATTCCACTCACATCTTTCATACTCTATCCTTGTCTGAGGTCATGCAGCTGACACTCATAGAATATTTTGTCTGCAGATAAAGGCAGTGAGGGTCCTTGCTGGTTTGGGATTAATGAAACCCACTGTCAGGCTTATGAAAGATTGTGAATTCTCACTGTACCAGCACAGTATGTTCTAGAAAACATTCGATTCATGAAGAGAAATATATACCAATCTTTATTGAAGTCACGAAGATCAGCATGGTTGCGTTACTAGGCACTAACAGAATATAATACCAGCATATTGGCATTTGAAAAGGTATAAAAATGGACCAGGATATTGGGCAATAAAATGTTTATATGTTTCGCCTAAAAATATCAGAAACTTGCCTGAAAAAGAATTTGAAAATAAAATTGAAAATATAATGACAAAAAATTTATTAAATGCATGAATATTTACCACATAATCTTAATTTTAATTGAGGTTTTGTACATATTTGACCTGTGTAAGATTTTATATTTTTAACATGAATAAACAGTATTGAGTATATTTAAGCTTCCTATATTGTTTTGACTATTACATACAGTATTGGGTGAGTTATGTGAATTGGTGTTTTCTGGAGAGTTTGTAGTTTTTATAGAATGATTTAAACATTCTTTGAATCCCTTTTCTTTTTTAACTTCCACTTTATACTCAGTTTATTTTTTATCATTCTGTATCTTTGTTTTGAGCTGCATTCTTTTTTGCTCTCACCATTAAATGATCACTTCCCATATTAAATATTTAATATGGATATTTACAAGTACTTCATAAGAACTTTTTTAAAAATATTAAAACAACAATTAAGATAATGTTGTGTAATACACTCATACCTTTCTTTTAGGTTTACTTATTATTAAACATTTATTTAATAAAAGTTTAAAAAGATTTCTAAAATTACAACTTCAAAATTGGTCTTAATTATCTCTGTTTTAATTAATTTTAATTTACACTCTTCACTTTTTTATATTATATTATAAAAACTACTACCATTTATTATCTGTGAGTTAACCTTGTTGCTACTTCCACTGTTAGTTGCTGTTTCTATTTATAAATCTGGAATCTACTTTAACACCAAATAAACCATGCTTTATGTTACTGATGAAACAAAAACTTTTGTAACATTGACAATAACTATAATGCTTGAAATTTTTGTTAACAAATCAACATTGTTTTGATTGGGAAACCTTCATATCAACCTATCAAAATCACTTGAAGCAAAAGGCCTTGTGTATACAATATATTAGCTTTGGATGTCTTAATTATTGCCATAATTATAGTGAGCACTATCTAATAAGGAAATGTTAGTAGGAGTGTGAATATAAAAACATTTTGCAACACATTACTTTTAAGTATTATGAAACAACTTGGTAGAATCTTAAATTTAAGGACACAAACATCAAATTATTACCTAATAGGAGTGATGCCATTTTTTAAATAGTTAGAGAATAAAATTAAATTAGTTCATAACCTACTTAATAAAATAAGTATAGATAAGAAAATGTTAATGATGAAGAAATTAAAGCAAAGAAAAATAAAAACAGCTGAGCTGTTTAACCACCTATGCATTAACCCATGTCTGAAACAGAGTGGCTTGTAGGTAAATTCGGGACTTGCCTGTGTCTCACATGTTTGACTGTAGTACATTCATTCATACATTCATGACGCATTTATTATTTCTATTATTATTAAAATGATATTCAAAAACTTATTAATTATTAAATTTTTTTTATTATTTTACATGAATAATCAAATTATGAAATAAAAAAAATGGTTAATTTTTTTATTTTGTAATTCAATTTTTTTACAGTAAACTCAAAATTGTGTGCATTAAGTGGTTGAACCTGGCTGGATCTTTTTCCCCAGTCCCCTAGATCCACAGATTTATTCCCAATTGAACACATGTGGGACATGATAGGTTGGGGACTTCTTTCAGTGACTTAACTGATATTTGAATTGTTTGGTTACTTTAAAATAAACAAAGTTGAGTTATTCATGCCCTTATGATATATGAAATGCTTGATACTATTAATAAATATATACATAGCTAAGTATGGCTATTGAGTACATAATACACATTGGGCATATACCAAAGTATTCTTCAATTTTGGTTGTCTCTGGTGAATTTGAAAAAAAAAATAAGTGACATTAATATTGTTTTCAATTCAGTTTCTTGTGACATTTTATTTTTGTAATTAATATCAATTAAGTATTGATATAAATACTTTATCTACAGATGTGCCATTAGATAAAACTTTAAAAACAATAATTACCAAATTAGTGAATGATGATTCATTGACAACTAGAACAAAATTTAAGATATCAGATAATTTAAGCTATTAACATTAAGTACTAACAATATTTATTTTAGGCTAATTGCTTAATGATTTCTAGAAACAAAATTGTTATACTGTCTCTCTCATTATTAAATATATCATGGAAGATTTTGCAAAAGGGTTTTTTATTTAAAATGTATTATGGACATGATATGGAGTACTATGTGTTGTCACAAGCTGGAGTCATTAGTTATGTTTCTCACAAATCTAAATGATGAAAAACACTTTTGTGCTTAATATTTACTTTTTTTTAAACAGTTATATTTTTTCTAAGAATAGAAATAAAAAAAAAACATCTACCAAGACTATTATTTTACAACATAATTATAATATAAAATATATATATATATATATATATATATATATATATATATATATATATATATATATATATATATATATATATATATCGTTTTACTGTTATTCATTATTGATTTTGGTGAATGTTCTCTGTATATATATATTTGCTATAAGTTTGCAATAACCCAATACAAAATTGTATAATGACACTAGTCACTTTACAGTTTTCATTTGACTGGTCTGTTGGGTTTCTTATTTTATGGTAGCTAATTCTTTTTGATTTGTGTATGTAAACTAATGACTTTTATATGAAAACTTGGAGTAGGTTTATCTCCCTTCAAGTTTTTGTATACAGGGTGGTGAATCGGCAAAACCGGTCCAATAGGAAACTCAATGGTAAATTATAAATTGTTGAATTCTCTGCTTCCTAAATTTATTTTACACCAAATGTCATGGGAAAATACTTTGTAGAGGACTCAAATTTATGTACCGAAAAACAAACTGTTAAAATTATTCTATCGACCTTAAAAGTTTTCCAAAATTTTGCTATAATACTAATACATTTTTCTGGTGGAGTGTGTGTGTTTCACGCGCCCGTTGTTGCTGTTTTGTACAAATTATTGTTTCTGATATTTGACAATAATTTTAAATCAAGCGCGCTCTTGTATTCGCTCGCTATGATTTAAATGGCATAAATTTATGATTTAATGTTTAAAAAAAATTAAGTTGATTAAAAAATGTACTCAGTTGAAGAGCAAAATGCAAAATAAACATGAAGATTTAAATTTTTTAAATAAAAACAGGACTTCATTATGGTTAATTACTACTTAATTTTTTGAGTCACAAAATAAATTACAATTAAACTAGAAGCTAATTTTTTAATAGAAAACTAATAGTTAATGAACATTTTTTTGTTTAAGAACTAATTTTGTAAGTTATGGTATTGCTGAATAAGCTTCTATGCCATTGTTTAACAGAATAAATTTGCAAGTGTTTCAAAACTGGTTCATTAAAATTCAACAACTTATATATTGAACATTATTTAAAATCAATGGCAGATATCTTGATATTCGGCAATTATGGTATTTTGCTCTGCTTGTTAATACTACTCAAAAGTTCTACCAGAATATCTGCAAAGGTACTTCTCAACCAATTTTATGAAAATTAATTAATTTTATCTGATGTAGTGCTTAACTTTTTGGTTTCTTTATAGGTACCCCTTTTTATAAATATTGTGTAAGATATTTATTAGAACATCTACAGAATTCTTTTGTAACTTTTGTAACCAGCTTTGTGACATTAAGATTGTCTGAGGATCAATTGTCGAATTGTCAAGGTTTTTAAAATAAACTATAACCAAGTATGCTATAACCATTCAGTTGATGTAAGAGAAATTTAAATAATTGTGAAGAGTATGAAACATATTAAAATCTTAAATTTTAGGATATACACATCAAGGCATGACCTAATTATATTAGAAATTCTCGTTTTTGACATAGCCCAAATAATAGTTAAATCCATTATTTATTACCAAGTCATCACACCTGTGAAATTTCTTTATTATTTTCTGCATGATTTTAAAGGAATAATTGAGAAAAATGACTAGGGCAAATTTATTTTGTAGTAAATATTGTTTGGTGTATTTTTATAGCAGAAAATATCCCCCGAGACGAAAAATGTATACCGTGTATGGTAACTGGAAAACTGACAGTTTCATTGTTTTCATATTGATTATAAATTCCCATAACCTCTAGGCCTATGATTAGACCTTTTATGAGTTTTTCTTTAAGAAGCAAGCATGTATATACAAATGTTAAAGAGTTTAGCTGTCGATTTTCACGTAAATTTTCATGTAAAGACAGTTTTTGACTTACCTTTCATCTTGCAGTCGTTTGAGTTCTACCATTTCAAGCTCAAATCGAAGATTGCTGTTTTCGCAGAGAAGGAGATCTCTTTCGCTAGCAACCCCATCCAATTCCCGTTTTAAACGAATGATTTGATCCCGTTGTTCCCGAATAATGGCATCTCTTTGTGCCAAAAGTGAATTAATGTCGATATCTGATCCGGCCATTGTAGGCCTCCTACCGTTATTGTCACTTAAGTACTAGTAAATACTGAAAATTTTGAAGTACAGTCCATGCCGCTAACAAAATCATAACACGTCTTAACACCAACACTTCATATTGCACTTAGGATACTTATTATTTTCGAAACAAAAATTTTGATATTGAACTTATCCCACACATTAATCCAAACAGATCATCATAATCAGTGATGGAATCGCTCGAACGAAAATCTTATCGAGTAGACGATTACTGAAATAATCGATATCATTCGATTTTTCGTAATAATCGAACAATATTGGGATTTCAAGCAATTTTATTTTAATTTGAGAGTTAATAATCGCTAATGGAATATGTATAAGAAAAACAAATAGATTGGAGTACTCAATTGAAAATGTAATTAAGTTTTGTTTAAAGTACACACGTAAATTTGAAATTTATTTAGTTTGAATTTGAACACCAGTTACTCTCAAAAAAGTTACTAACTTTTACATCAAATTTTCTTCTTTATTTAAATATTTATTGTTCTTGATCATTAATTACTTAACAATATTACAAGCATGTCTTTAAAGCTAGAACATTTATATGTAGTAAAAATCGGAATTATTAATTTTGAATTAATATCAATATCTTTTAAAATGTTGGAAGTGATATCACTGTTTAAAACAATGGTGATATTATTATACATACATATGCTGTCGTAGATCAAAGCCACCTCTACTCCAGAAAACTAGAGGTGGCTTTGTATCTGTGTTAAATTTGATTAATCGATAGTGTCTTTGACATCGTCTTGGGTCTTGGATTGGAATAAAAGACAGAAAATCACTGTCAAAACATAACCTGACATTATTATTTGATATTCTTTATTATTATTATATCAATACCTGTCAATACCCTTTCGTTTGGATTGCTGCATTGGAAACCTCTGTCAGAGTATATACCACAAATATATACTCTGAACTCTGTCAAACGACAATAATGAAGAGGAGGAAAATGATAAGATGAGGATGGAAAAAAAAATTTAAGCAAAGGATGAATAGATATCTAAAAGAGGCGATAAATCAACTACTCTGCCAGCTACATAAACAACAAAACGAAGAAAAATCAGAAAAAGAAGTTGCAAAATATTCACGAGAATAATTAGAAAAATAATAAAAGGAAAAAAAAAGAGAAAAGAGTAAGGAAAAAAGATTTTCCCTACATACAAAGTAAGGAAATTAAATCAATAACGCAAATGAAGAAGAAAAAGCATACCCTCTACCAATAAATACCAGTGAAGACAATGTGGATACTAAGGACAGTGTCAGTAGCCAAGAAAAAAAAAACAGAAGAGATCATCGAAAAAGACAATAAAATTACAGGGTGTCAATGAGACAGGTGCTACCCTTAATATTAATGAACAGCACATAATATACAGGATAAACAAAATATCCAGAAATGTTAATTCTTATTTATTTAAATAAATTGTATATTTGAAATGTTAATTATTATTTATTATTGAGTATTTTAATACTATAAAAATTTATATCTATATATTATAAATCTTTTTTTTGCTCATTTTTTGTCAGGGCACGCTCATCCCTCTCAGCGCCCTAATCAGAATACATACTCCAGCACTTAACACTATGAAAGCAACCCGAATAAAAGTACAAATGAGGCATGGATAAATTAGGATCACTTCTGCATATGTAAGACCATGAGATCCTCTAACTGATGATGACCTGGATGCATTCCTACCTGATAGAAATGCTGACCATAATAATATGAGACATAAATGCAAGATCCCCAAACTAGAATGATTGAGCTACAAATAGAAACAGGAGATTACTAAATAATTATCTAGTGACCAACAAAGATACCATGGCAAGTAGGGCCATCAAGCCCACCCATATCCAGGGAATACTCTATCTACCCATTTGTAGATACATTGTAGTAGTTAAAAACCTAGGACTACAGATAGAGATCAGAACACTAAAAGAAGGAACACATGGGAAGAAAACAACAAAACAAGAAAAAGAAAGAAAACAAAGTAGTCAAAATACAAAAGACTTGTGAGTATCGGAATTAATAACAATTCGGAGTACAAGAAGCGGCACTACTGAGGAAGAGGTAGAAATACACAAGGCAAGATTTAGAGACATAAACCAGAAAACAAAAGAATTCATAATGGAAAAGAACAGAGCCAAAAAGAGAGCTAGAAGAACAAGAAACCAGTAAGATAAAAGCAGGGCAAATAGACTCAACACAGAGGTCAAAGCGGCACTAGCTGAACATAGAAGGCTAATGTGGACAACCACTTTCAAGAAATGGAACCGCAAGAAAAGAACGCATATCTGCAAACTCCATAGAATTCTAAGAAAAAAACAGAAAACCCATTCCCCCACTACACAGAGAAAATGGAATAGTGTACTCAAGAAAATGCAGAAGTGATGAGGACTCTGAGGAGAGAGAATGTACACTCCACCTACCAACTACCACCAAGATGAAGACATTAACTTCATAGAAGAAGTTGAAGAAAATCAAGAAGTGCCCGAAATACAAGGTAAGATAATGGCACCACATCTCCACAGGAAATAAGGGAATTAATTAGAAACAGTTCACCAAGAAATGCTCCTGGTCCAGATGAAATCACCAACAGAGCTCTGAACTATCTACCCACAAAAGCAGTAGTATACCTAACCAACATCATAAATGTGATACTTAGATACATGATCTCAGATCCGATGGAAGGTAGCCCACGTCATCATGTTACTGAAGCCAGGGAAGGAAAACAGTTTTCCGCAAAATTACAGACCGATCAGTTTACTTCCAGCAATCAGAAAGGTAGAAAAATCATCCTTTTAAGACAACAAGAAGAACCATACAGGCTAAGTCTAATCCCAGAAGCTCAATTCGGATTTGGAGCAGTCATAGAGGTACTCCAAAGAATCGGAAAGGAGAAAGAAATCGTGAATACAATTAAACAAAGAAAGCTTGAATATCTAGGCCACATATTGAGACACGATAAGTACCGTCTGCTACAATTGATTGTCCAGGGAAAAATAGACAGTAAGCGAGGGCCAGGCAGGAGAAGACACTCGTGGCTCCAAAATCTGCGGAAGTGGTTCGGGCTCACATCGGTCGAACTATTCAGAAGCGCCGCAAACAAGATCAAAATTGCCATGTTAATAGCCAACGTTCGCAACGGACAGGGCACTTGAAGAAGAAGCAGACCTCTCCAACGAACTACGAGTACCAAGATTAACAGAATTCATTACAGCTGGATTCAACGATAGACAATACATATCAGCAGCCTTCCTGAATGTTAGCAAAGTCTTCAATAGAGTATGGCATAAAGGACTGACTTATAAAATGAGAGAACATGGATACAGTGACGACCGGAGGTTCAGGGTCCAGATAGGACTTCTCTCGGAACAAGGGGTCCCGGAGTACCACAGGGAGTGGTCTTGTCACCCCTATTCTATACAATATACACAGCCGATGTCCCAAGAACACCAGGGACACTACTCAGCCTTTATGCAGATAATACGGCGATAGCGGCATAGAAATATAGACATAGCCGTAAACAACCTACAGACGGCATTGGCCACCATAGAAGAATGGTGTATCCAATGGAAAATAGCCATTAACTCAAAAAAGACACTAGCGGTCAAAAGAGGAGAGACAATCCAGAAGAACAACTCACTGTGCAAAACAATCAAATCTAATGAAAAAGAGATGCGAAGTACCTACTAGTCATAATAAACCAAAGACTCACATTTAAACCACATGCAGACGCAACAGTCCAAAAAGCAACAATGGTAAGAGACGATAGACGATAAGCATAAAAACGAAAATGAGACTGATCTCTCGCATGGGGAAAGATAAACAGCAACAAAAAGAGGATACAATCAGCTCACAACAATAGCCTCAGAAAACTACAAATGTGCCCAGATACGTGGCAAAGATTTCTGTTCAGAGAACTGAACCAAATAAGGGTGTTAGACACAATGGAGGAAAAACAAGAATAAAATTCTCTGAGCTATATAAATGTAGCTCTACCACTAGAAGACAATCCGGCGTTAAAGGCACTGACAATGTACTAACCTGTTGATAGATTTTCCAGGACATCCTTCAAAAAAAATTACAAAAAACGGCTTCGGCCAAAAAAAAAAACACAAAATTACTAACAAAAAGGCGCAAACCATTAAAAAACCCGGGCACGAGCGTCTAACGCTAGCCTGCTTTGATCGGGATAGGACATTGCGTTGGAGTTCTTGTACCCAGGACTTCCACACGACGAGCACTTTGCTGATAGAGAGTCTCGATCTCGCATCAGAGTGCTATAGCGGGGAAAGGAATGGTCTAGATCATTGGAGGGCGGTGGGGTGGTTCCTGTATACTCGAATTAAATCACATCGCCCCAATGAATTGTAACACCCGAATGCCATTCTAATGTGTATGCAAGTCTCTCAAGCTGGGTTCAATTAAATTGCTTGCTGTTTGCGTGAAACCTTTGTCAGTATAGGATGATCGCGGATGTGCTGGGAATACAATTTTTATCACTGCATAAGCTTACATCAGAGGTTATGTTGTTTTGGCCTTAATCAAGCCACAGAATAAAAAAAAATAGTTGTTTTGTTATCATATTCAGATTTTTGAACTTAATATGCTTAGAATATTGGTTTTAAATTCTCAGGACATTAACATTAGAAAAAGCTGAGAAGACAATGGGACTGCAGGTTAACGTATTCAAAACAAAATACATGAAGGTCACGAACAGCACACAAACAGCGGCACCACAAGATCTGGTGACAGAAGCACACACATTCGAAGGGGTCTCGGAGTTGATATAAATCTTGGAACACAAATAAATAACAGGAACCTAGTAAGCGTAGAAATTAAGAGAAGAATATACCTGGCGAACAGAGCTTACTTTGGACTAAAGCAGTTCTTAACATCACACATAATTAGCAGCAAACCAAGATACTAATATATAAAACTCTTATTAAACCTGTCCTAATATACGCGTCAGAGACATGGACTATAATAAAAAGCGACGAACTGTTAAGCCGCTTTGAAAGACGAATACTTAGACACATATATGGAGAAGTACAAGAAAACGGGATATAGCGCAGGCGCTACAATTTTGAGTTGTATCAATGCTATAAAAAATGCAACATCATCCGGTCTATTAAAATTAATAGACTAATGTGGCTAGGACACCTTGAAAGAATGGACACTGGAGACCCCCAAAGACAGATGTTCTATCAAGAGCCTGTAGGAACCAGGAAGAGAGGCAGGTCAAGATCTAGATTCAAAACTCAACTCGAAGATGACTTGAGGAATCTAGGGGTCAGAAATTGGAAAGCCAAGGCGAAAGATAGGGGGAATGGAGACTAATTCTTGAACAGGCCAAGACCTACCCAGAGTTATAGAGCCAAAGATGATAATGATTCTCAGGACATTGCCATATGGTGTCGACAGTACCAAACCAACCTTTCCAATAAGGAGTTCCTAATGTAACTCTTTAGGTGGTATACTTATGGGGATTGTAAAATTAATTAATGTTTGAGCTCTTTAATTAAAAAATAAATAAATTTTTTTACAGGTTTTTAAAGTTCAAATAATATTTAAACTTTATCCAATACTAATATATGAAATTGAAATGTTTTCTATTCTATGGAAGAATACCATTCTGCATTTTTTACTTTTCCACTTATTGCTTTTCACTAGAATCAACTTTTATTAAAAAGCTGCCATGAAGTTTGTCTCTGTTGTGATGTTTTCCAGGAGATTATTGGGTTTTGTTTAAACTTTGTTAGTGTGGTACTTCCCTGGCAACATTTTCATGACTTTCCATTTGGCAATCATTTCCCAGAGTTAGAGAATGCTTGAAAACACCTTTGAAATTATTTATGAACCAAAGTTCCATATGCTAAATGACAGATATTGTACAGGTAGAAGAAAGAAACTTAGTTACTTATAGTAATAAAATAACGTTCAATCAAGACATAACCCTCCAAGCCTGGTGGATGCGATTTTTAAAAGAACTTTCGAAAGTATATTTTGTTCTTTTCTAAGTAACTTTTTGGAAAAAAAAATAGCTGACACTTCTGGACTTTGTTTTTTATATGCACTTGGATTTTCAGAGTGTTGGATCCATGGACGTATAAACATAGATGGACACAGCAATAAGATAACTTTAACACACAATGTTTTGAAGCTTCGATAGAATGTGATGCTTCCGCAATGAGCATAAGCGTGCTTGAATTTTTACTCGCGGGTAATTATTCAGATTTTAAAAATTGGAAGTAGTAATAATGTATAAAAACACGTTCAAAGAATTAAAAAAAAAAACGAGAGTTTAACTATTAACAAATCACGTCTTTATAGAAAAATTAAAATAAAATTTTATTTGCTTTAAAATTAATGCAATTAAATATAGTTAAATTAAAGTGAATTTTTTAATAGTATCAAAATAATGCTACAATAAAAAATCTTTATGTTTTCTCCTTAATTTGCTACCCAAATAGTTCGATCGTCAATATTATTTGGAAACCTACATAGAAAAATAAATAAGTTTTATTCATTTCATCAATTTATTTGTATCCATGAGAAATATTAAATTAAAATGGTACTAAACAGATCTTTTTTAACCAGATGATGTCTACTTACAATTTATAAATGTCTATCATATCTTATTCAATACATTAATGAACATGAATAAACCCAATGGTACGCCTATTAAAATGTAAACAAACACGCTTCCTCATCTTAAATAATGTAAATTGTATGTACTTACAAATGAAATGAAAGATCGGGATGTAAATATTTCGTTTATTTTATTTCACTTTTCACAAATATCACTCAAAATACAGCCAAAATATCGAAAAATAACTTTTTCCTCATTTACTGTTAAAAGTAAACAAACATGGAACAGCATTTGAAGTTTGACGTAGATCCATAAGACAGAGAAATGTAAACAACCGTTGCCATTTATAAATAGTTTTCAGTGCTTCTACATATAAAATAATTGATTATTATACGCTATTATTAAATGATAATGCACACATAATATTTTGATTACAATTAAATATATTAATATAACCAATAAATTATTATTTTGGTTTGATAGCACCTGTAGAGTATAAAATACGGAGTAATATTTTCAGCGACTCGCGAATAAGAAATTTTAAAACAAAACGTGACAACAGTTGAAGGTGCTCAGAACGTGACTTATTTAAATAATTTTGACTTCACAATTTTATGTAAATAACTGAGTCCATCTGTGTTTATACGTCCATGGTTAGATCAATATAGTTACTCCTCAAAAAAGTTACAGTTTCTCACAAAAATATTCCGCTAATTTTACGGAGGTATTTTCGGTCATTCATTCTTCATACTGTATTATTTAATTAACTAAGTCATGCATTCTACTCATAGTATTAATTTATAAATTCTGTTTCCAATTTACAAAATGTGATTGTATCTTCCTTGTAATTTCAGTTAAAGATGGTTCACTGTAAAGTCAATTAAAATCAAATAAGAATATCTGGATTAAATAACAAATACTTTTCAACATTTTATTAAAAATAAATCTAACAATGTTGTGCATCTATTTAAAAAATATAAAATAGTTTTATAAAATTGTATAAGACACCTACATTTATTTGTTGTAATTTACTGATTGTAATATTTAGTAAATGCATATGAGATAAAAAAATTATTGTCATTTGTTGAACAATACAGAACATATCTATAAATGGGACTGCAATCTGTTGAGATGTAAAAATAAACCAAACAACTAAATATGTTTATTTATATATGTAGAATGTAGGAGATATGCGGAAGATGGATATCAACCGTTACTTTGTAATAAACTACTCTAAAAGTTGATAGATCATTTTGATGAAAACATTAAATTATAATTTTTTACTGAAACGAAATACTAGCTAAAAGATAACACTATAAAAATAGTACATACATCTAACAACATTAAAAGACAAAATTCAGTCTGTTTCTTTTTGGCAATAATATTAAATGCTATGGATAGCTTTCTTAGCTGCGTCATCCAAATCTTCGGCAGTTATAATATCAAGTCCCGAATTACTAATGATTTGCCTAGCCTCAACTGCATTGGTACCCTCAAGTCTAACAATTAACGGAATTTTCAACTTCATAGTTTTTAGGGCCCCCACGATACCATTAGCTATCGTTGAGCAGTTGACAATGCCCCCAAATACATTTACTAAAACTGCCTTAACATTTACATCAGATGTGATTATTTTAAAGGCGGCCTTCACTTGATCTTCTTTCACTCCACCTCCTACGTCCAAAAAATTTGCTGGATCTCCACCATGTAGTTTGATGATGTCCATTGTTGCCATTGCAAGGCCAGCACCATTTACTAAACACCTGCAAAACAAAGTTAGTATGTATTGAGAGCAAATCAAAGGAAATACATTATAGTTATGAGAATTACGAGAACAATTCAATAATATAACCCCTAAGTAATTTGAAATATCTTATTCTCGCATCGAGATATACAGACTTCAATGTTTTGATTTAATTCGTATATTCTAACTCTCTAATGCCCTTCTCCAATCGCTCAACCTCTCCGACCGGCCATGACGGAACGAATTAGACACCTGCATGGACGTATAAATAAAGATATTTATACGTCCATGGACACGTGCATTGCACGATGTTCTCGTTCAATAACGGAATTTTGTATTTCTATGAATTAATACAATATAGTTCAATGAATCTCTACATCGGGATTAATATATAAAATTGATGAAAAAATATATTTACTTTTCATTTATAAAATGAATCCATTTGCTTTCTTAACTACATGTTCTTACTTAAAAGCTACTTACCCAATGTTACCCGTCATTCCGATGTAATTCAAGTTATGTTTGGAAGCTTCTACTTCTCTAGGATCACTTTCAGTAACATCTTCCATTGCAAAAATTTCCTTCTGTCTGAATTTGGCATTATCATCAAAATTAAGTTTGGCATCTACAGATATAACCTTTTTATCATCAGTCTCAACCAAAGGGTTAATTTCTAGCTGTGTGGCATCTATGGCTACAAATAACTGCCAGAGTTTCTTGATTTCAGCACTGGCTTTAGCCTTAAGTTCTCCTTTAAATTCTATAATTTAGAACAAGACATATTAATATCACATTGACATTGATTTCTTAAGTTCAATAATTATATTCATATGTTACAGAAATAACCTTGTCAAATGGTTAGGTTAGGTGACACTAAGGAGAAATATCACACTATACATGATAAACGTTACACTAAGAAAAATAATGAATAAACATAATGAATATGCCACTAGATATCTTTTACTATATACGAGTAGAAATAATAATATAAGATTTCTATTAATGTTAACAGCTTCTTTGATTCATTATTTTTAACAGGAACGTGAAAATAGCTAGCATTCTACCGTTGACTACCATTAGGAAGTATGTAATGTATTTTTTATATGCTTATGTAGATGCTTAAATATACATTCTTTCTTTAGAGTGTAGCCGCACCTTTAAATTTACATATTTCAACTGTGAGTTCTATCTTTCAGGCCGTAAAAACTAATACACCTCTAACATAACCACCCAACAACGTACTAGGATTAAGAATGTTACCAATACTGAAATAATTACAAGCAAAATTCTTAATAAAATTTACAGTATGTATGATCGAAGTCAGTATACTTTTCATTAGATATCATAAAGTGTATTAAGTTAAAACATATTTGTTTAATATGAAATCAAATTTAATTCTTTTCAGAAGAACATGTAACTTTGACCTCTTTATGGATTCAATTGAAGAGAAAAGAACTATTTAGTGGTTGTCTTATGTCACTCAGTATTGTACTGAAATACATTGGTTTTTTAAACCATAACAAATACAGATGAAGACATCACAATGAGAATCGGACAAGATGAAATAGAACAAGTTCAGGATTATATATATCTTGGTCAAACTATAAAACTTAACAAAGAGAATCAAACAGCAGAGATAAAGAGACGAGAAGAGACTGGCATGGGCGGCATTTGGCAAACTAAGCTACATTCTTAAAAACAAAAGATATCCACAGCATCTTAAGACCAAAGTATACAATCAATGCATACTCCCTGTTCTTACTTATGGTTCCCAAACGTGGACATTTACAAAAGCAAACATGGACAAAATCATAAAAACCCAAAGAGCAATGGAAAGACAAATGTTGCACATACGACTAATGGATAAAAAGAGAAACGAGTGGATAAGAGAGAAAACAAAAGTGAGTGATGTTAGACAAGAAATTGCAAAATTGAAATGGAGATTTGCCGGACACAATATAAGACAAAAAGAAGACCGATGGAACAAAATTCTTATAAGTTGGAGACCGTGGGAATTTAAACGAAGCAGAGGAAGGTCCCAAATAAGATGGGCAGATGATATCAAGAAGTACGTGGGCTCTAGGTGGATGACTGTAGCGACAGACAGAGAAGAATGGAAAATGATTGGGGAGGCCTATGTCCAAAGATGGACCGATGAAGGCTAATTAGATAGATAGATAGACATTGGTTTTAAATGGCTAAAATATGATCCAAGGCGAGGACTAATGGAAGTCTCATATTGCTGTGAAGAGAGCAGAATCTTTGAGATTATATCAAAAATATAAACATGAAGAACTATACAAGTTTGTCTTTATAGATGAAACTTGGATTTTTCAGAATGGATCTACAAGTCGCTCATGACAAGACGAGAATAAATAAAGTGTACAATCTATTACAACTGATGGAAAACGGTAATATCATATTGAAAACAAGAAGCGATTGAAATAAAATTGTTTATAGATACATTATTCTTCATGCTGGTAATGGAAATGGCTTCATTGAGGGTGCAGAGAATATATTTTCATCTTGGATCCACTTATATAAACCTTCTACCATACGAGCAGTCAAAAACAATTTCATTTAAAAATGAGGTCTTATATTAGCTACAAATATGTATAATTCAATTTTACCTTGTCCTAGATGTGATCAACATAAATGGCAGTATCATATATCTAAGCTAATCAGTCACAAATACACATTTTAGACCACACCCCATACGACAAAGAGTAACATAGGCTGCCTAATGCATACGTCATTCTCTTAAACATGACCTTTACCTCCATCGGTAATTTTACATCTTTCATCTCCAAAATTTAAAAATAATTTTTTTTAAATCCCAACACTTGGATGGCTGTTATAATTTTTAACATCACTAAAGCTTTTGAATCGGTTGGCTGCAGTAATATTATGTATGACTAACACTGTTCCATGGTGCATTGACATTTTGTTTTCGACACCATTCATAGGTATCTTGTGAATCAGTTACCAGCTGAAGTCCGTTTGAAGAGGTCTACCCTACGGACGATGGTACTCACGTGATGCATGGTAATATGTTGCCTGAAGTTAAATATAATAAAATATTAAACATCTGTTCATTAACAACAATATGCACATTTTTTGGTAACTTTAACTTCTGTAAAGGGTTTTACCCTAATATTTTGGTGGCTCAGGAATGTTAACCTGTAAGTATAACCTTTTCTAACCTTAGTCAACATTTCAATAACGTTTGCTTTAATTAAATGGTTCATACTTATTTTAGGCTTTTAACCTGATGATGGAATTATTATTCCGAAAACGTTCGTTATTTTGATGTAGCCCTTCTAAGGGTTTTTAAATATACCTACTTACAAAGATTTAAACCTCTTTTTGTGATACATGGTATACAGCCAGCTGCAGGAATTTATTTTCCTTGTGGATATTATATTTTCATCTAAATCGGCTTTAATGGACTACCATGGGGAAATGAATAAAGCAAACTTTTTATCGTAGTTTGAAAATCAAAACGAGCTTTTGCAGATTGTTGCGCAGTAAGTACACCTAATGAGAATTTAGTTCAGGTTATCAATATTTATTTTTAGAAACAATATATCTATTATAATTTTATTAATATAACCGGTGACAGTGATTCCAGTACCAGCTGTGACATAGACAGTGATTAGTAAGTACAGCATCTTATGGCTCTTTGAGCATTAATTATTAATATTAATATTCTAATATAATTAATACTAAAAAAGTGTATATCTATACTAATAAATGCTAGTGTAAAAAGTGTATCTCTTCGAGTCAAAAAAACCTCATAAAGTCCCTATAACTGAATCAAACAAAAGGAGAAAATGATGCAAGAAAAAACAAATATCAGGAAAAACAGGGATGCTCACTGCTCGTCCAGAGACCCATCAGAACATTTGTTTAGGACATTACTAGCAATAGAAATCACGGAAAGAAACGTAAACAACAATTGGGTTAAAACAAAGGTTAACGAGCTTGGCAAAGATTGACTACAGACACACATTTCCACTATGTATAAATTTAATCAGACAATCATGGACTTTTTTATTATTAGCAGCCAATAGGTTATTTATTTGATATGGAGGAAATATTTTCAGAGTTTGATAGTTGTTTAAAAGAGTTCCTGAATGCTGAAGATATTTGGAACTTTAAAAAAATATGTAGTTAAGATCTCCTTGTTCTTGACAAGTTTCGCATTGTTTATTTTTATTTTTGCAATATGAACAGGATAACAAGCGTGGCCAAATCTCAATCTTATTAAAGTTGTATATTTACGGGCGGTATTGAAATTCTTAAACCATCTGGAATTAGGGATGTGTGGTTGTATAAACACGTATTGTGTTGTTGAGTTATCGCAAAAAGTTTGCCAGGAAGTATTCCAACGATTTGTTTGATTTCTTTTAGAGATAAGAAAAGCGCCAGGAACACAAATTCTCTCATCTGGTAAAATAGTACGGCCATTTGTTATAGAAAACGACGTCATCGAAGCAGTTAATCTCCTTTTTAAATCTACAGTTATATCAAGAAATACAAAAGTAAAACTCTACAAAACAAGAATACACCCAGTCCTAACATATGGTTGAGAAACCTGGACTTTAACAAAAAGCAATGAAAACATGTTAGGATGTTTCGAAAAAAAAAAAAAAAAATACTAAGGCGAATCTATGGAGCGGTAAATGAAAATGGTGTCTGGAGAATATGATACAACTTCGAACTCTATCAGGAACCAGATATCGTAAAACACATTAAGATAGGACGTCTGAGGTGGGTAGACAATGTAATACGGATGGAGCAAACCGACACAGCTAGAAAAACGCTCCTTGACAGACCTATTGGTCAAAGAAGAAGACGAAGACCCAGAACAAGATTCCTAGATCACATAGATCAAGATATGAGAAATATGGAAATATGTGCTTGGCAGAGGAAAGTGATGGATAGGGACGACTGGTAAAAAATTATTGGGGAGGCTAGGACCCACACAGGATTGTAAAGCCAAAATGATGATGATGAACTTTGTATTTTTGAGAGATAATAAGACTGACAATGAATCGGATATTATTAAAACTGCATTATTGTTTAAACTGTCAAAATATATCAAGGCTTCAAGAATTGCAAGTGCTTCAGCACTAAAAATTGAGCAATTGAGAGGTAGTTTGAACACTTTGTTGTTGACTTGGATGGAATGTAGAAAGCACATCCGGTCCCTTCTGATGTTTTGGATGCATCTGTATAGATTACAAAGCAACGTTTAAGCACCGCACTTTTTTACATTGTTCCCAAATTATATAAAACCATCATATGCATAATTGTAATGTATCAAATATGCTTTGTTGTATAATCACTTCTGCCTTAATTACATGATAAGTTAGATTTAAAATGAATTCAGGACTTTATGTAATTTGGCAACAATGTGTCAAATTAAATCTCTGACGCTCTTCATTAATAAACGTGTCTAAAATGCCATCCATAACTTCTCTGCAAATTTTGACGGAGACCCCTTATGATCCCTGATCGAGCTCTGGCACAGCCACCTTTACTTCCAAGCCATGAAGTAGAAATTTGGCAACAACGCGTGGTAGTCCGACCGTGGTTTGTTTTGTTTAACATTTCATATAGGAAGGCTTGTAAAGTTTGTTGAATTTAGTGTTTTTTAAACTTTATTCGAATGTTTACTTTATTCGAAACTTTATTCGTAAATTGTATTTAAATCAATTAGAAAATATTAATATAAGTGAAATTTCATTAAGTTTAGAACTTTTAGAAGATTTTTAACGACAATTTAAAAGGCAAGTATATAACCTACAAAACAAACTGAAAATAATAATACTTTTGCTTCTTGTTACAAAATATGTAAACTAAAAACAACAATAATAATACTTTTGTTTTTTGTTACAGATGCCCTGGCATTGTTGTGTACCTGGTAGCAAAACCAATTATGCCAGTACTTTAAAAACGAAACCGGCAGAAAGTAAGTTTTCGTTTCCCAAAGATCCCCAAAGAAGGTATACTGGGTTATGCTCTATTCATAGAGAATGCTATACAATTACCAAATCTTCCGTAGTATGTGCCAAACATTTTCATGAATATGATATTCAGCGGACTGAACAATGAGAAGACAAAGATGGAAATGTACACATTGAAAAGTTAATATTTCCCAAATTAAAGGACAATGCAGTTCCTAATATATCTTCTGAAGTACCATCATATGTAACTGTTCATCGTACTAAAGAAAGAAGGAATCCAGAAGACAGAAGAAACTTTTTGCATAAGAAGAGGGAACAAGAGATAACAGAATTCTTAGACAATGATTTAATAGATTCATTGGAATCATTTTTAAGAGACTTAGACAATAATATCCCATTGAAAAACTGGACAAGTAAAATTACAAGTGACTGTGATATTTCTATGTATTAAACATTAATCAGTTGGGACACAAATGTGATAATATTTTTGTGTAATAAGTAGTGTAATAGTTAGCAGTAATTTTAGTGTAATCGTCAATGTAGGTAAGAATAGATTAAATAGTAATAATTTGAAATGGATTTTATAATATAGTAAATTAACAAGATGGTCACAATTAGAGAACTTACTTTCTCGATATAGATCTGCTTTTTAGATAAGTGATAACAAATTTGAGTATTACATTCAAAAATCTTTTGAGAATATAGGCTATTTTAAATCGATATACAAGTTATAAATGGTATGTTACATTCAACACATTTTTCATGTATATCTCTTTTAACTTGGTCTATATGACAAAAAACCTATTCATATATAAAATTGCTACTTTCGTATACCTAAGTATGAAAATTCAACAAAAGTTATAAGTAAATAGTAAAATATTTAATTGTCAATTAGATTAATTCAGAACCATATTTATATTGTGTCTGATTTCTTAGGATGAATTTTTTAATCATAATAGTTACACTAAGTTTTTACTTATTTTTTTTTTATATTATTTAATAATTAATGTATTTTTAATAATCTTTTTAAATGTCGTGTTAATGTATTGTGTTATTTATATGCTTAAGTACTTAATATTTAAAATTTTTAGAGATTCTTGACTGCATTTGATTGTAAGATTAACTGTTTGACACTGTATTTTAAGTGCAATAAATTTTACTCTAATGATTATTTTATTGATAATATAACCGTAATAATAATAAAACTTTATATATATTTATTAGGTATATATAAGGTTTTATTAATTTAATTTCCCTAAAAATATTTCTGTAATGAATTGAAGTTTTCAAAATATCAGTTTCCTAAAATTCAAATTAGTTTAATTTTCTGGTAGACCTTACAGCTGATTATCGGACTACCGACGTCATAGAATGCGGTGTTGCCTTTTTTACTTCATGGCTTGGAAGTAAAGGTGGCTGTGGCTCTGGGCGTACTTTTTAGAGTACATTATCACCATTTCTATCGCATTTAGGGCGTCTGAAGTGTTGGCAACTGTGGATTCGATATATCTGTGCATAATAAGTTAAATTTTAATATATTGCTGTATTCTCGGAACCAACGAAAGAGAATGCTTCCTAACAGTATACCTTTATATTAAATTAAATGGTGAAAATAGACCATTACATTTCCACCTCTACATAGGTATCACGGGTCTCATAAAACAATTCGTTAAAATTTTGCCAATTGAAGGAGACTGTTTTAAGTATCTCATTTGGCATTTCCTATCCTGTGATTTGAAATATTAAACGGTATTTTCGATGGTCCACAGATTCGGCAGCTTCTTATAAAGATGAATATTTCACGGGAACATTGCGAAAAATTGAAAAGATTGCTTGGTAGGCTTACAAAAACAGTGTTAAAAATCTATGATAATTACCTAAAAACTCAGCTATTTCATCTGCCATTTTATCAGTGATCCCTTCATAAATATCTATGGGAAGGTTTTTTAAAAGATGGGGAGTTTTCTCTGCTACTGCTTCAATATCTACCCCTCCTGCGGGCGAAGCTATAATAACTGGTCCATTTCTTTGCCTATCCATTAAAATACAAACATAAGTTTCCCTTTTGATATTTACACTGTCTGCTATCATAACTTTGCTTACTTCTATTCCATCTTTTGGAGTTTGCTTTGTTATTAATTTGTGACCTATCATTTGACTGGCTATTTTTGGTACTTCATCTCGTCTGAAAAAGGGTATTTATTATGAAGTATTATTAGAAGTTTGAAAAAATAAATATTAAAAACAAAAAATCATAATATCAATATAAATCAATCAAATAATCCCTTCTAATATGGGAACAATGGTCACTCACTCTATCATCTTGGCTTCCACTAGATATCAGAAAAATAAATTAATAAGCAATGTTTAAATAATAATCAATAACGTGCATTGTCATTATCCATATCCATATTTATTCCTTATTCTTATTAAAATAAATGACAAAAATACACTTACCTATAAAATTAAACAGAAAACATAATTAACAATGTACAATAATAATTTTATAAGTCTAAATGAACACTATTAATAATATTAACCACACAGTTTGTTTAAATTAACACTATCAATAAGAAAATAAAATGATCACTAATACTAAATAAAACTATTATTGCTGCAGAATAAAAAGAAACAACCAGTAAATTGGTTTAATTCTGATTAAATAGTAACACTACTTGATACCCCTTGAACCACTTAATTTCTAACCAATGTTCATTCAAACCGAAGATTAGGATGATAACATGATACAACCACACATTCAACTCTATTTACTTTTGAGCTTGTCTTCAATTTGAACAGACTTTAGTATTAAGCCAGTTTTTTGATATTTATTGTCCGATTTTAGATTTAAGAAGCAATTAAATAAAAGAGTGTATATAAAACAAACTGTGAGTTTAAATAACTGTTTTAGTACATTAGACATCTTTATTATTTTTTTTGCATTTAATTCACTTTTTTAAGTGAATACAACTGCTTTAATTGAACTTACTTTTGAGTGATGTGGACTCCTCCTTTAAACCCAGTATCAAAATGTCCTTTTCCTCTACCACCAGCCAATATTTGTGCTTTCACCACATATTCCTTGACAACTAAAATAAAACTAATGAGATCAAGAATTCAACAGATAAGATGGATTCAACTGTTACTTGATGGAAATTCATTTTATGTAACAAAAAAACACTGAAAACTTTGTTTTAAAACTTCCACAATAATGTATTATAAAAAACCTTATCACTAGTCACACATCTGTTTCAGCTGATTGCCTTTCTCAAGTGATCTATTTTTGGCATGAATTTACACTTTATAGTCTTTAATGAAATAGGTTGAGGAGGGGAGAACTGTTTGTCTTAAGTTGGTCATTCAGAATTATATCTATGTTTTTTAATTTATTAATTTCCATAGATTCTAACAAATGATTATGATCTAGAAGGTGAAGTGCGTATGTAGATTCTGTTTTTTTATTATTGAAAGTCAATTTATGTTCTGCTATTCGTTTATTAAAATTTTTACCAGTTTGACTGAAGTTTTTGGACAGTCGCCATATTTAAGTTAAAGAGCCAAAATTAAAAGCACTGTGTAAGTGCTTTTTATTTTGGCTCTTGTTTTTAATATATTTGCATAAGTTGTTGTTTGTTCTAAAAGCTGGTGTTATTCCTTTCTATGTGTTTGGCTATTTTTGTTGATATTTTGCAATCAAGCAGAAGGTACTGGGTTTTTTCTCTGGTGGTGGAAATACTAGTTTAAGGGCTTTCTTGTGTAGGTTTTGATTTAAAATCTTATTAATTGTTTGTTCGTTGTATCATTTGTTTACTGCTATTTGCTTAATGATATTTAACTCTGTTTCAAAGTTGTGTCAGTATGGGTAGGTATGAAATATGGAGAAGTCATGTTTGATTTTAAGTCTGATAATTTTTGAATCTAAAAAATGTATGGATTGATTTTGTTCTGTTTCTATTGTAAATTCAATATGATTACGAAGTGAATTAATATAAGATAAAAATTGGTCGAGTTGCCTGTTAGTTCCTTGTGAAACATACCAGTATGTCGTCTACATATCTCCACCAATATAAAAACTTTTTGAATATAGGATGTTTTGAAATCTTTGTATCTAGATGATCCATAAAAATATCTTATAGCAATGGGCCTAAATGATTGCCCATTATAAGTCCTGCAGTTATTTGTATATATTTTATTATTAAATTCAAAGTAGTCCTGGTTTACGCAAATTTCAAGAAGATGTAAAATTTCAGATGTAATGATTGGATTTGTAATATTTTGGTCTAAAAAGTTTTTTACTAGAATAAAAGTTTCTGTAGGAGGAATAATAGGAAAAAGATTTTTTATGTCAAATGAAATTATTCTGGAGTTGTTAGGTAATTGAAAATGTTGTATTTTATTAACTAGTTCTATTGTATTTTTATCGTAAATTTAGGTGAAAATTTAGTGTGTTCTAAAATAATCTCTAATAGTTTTTTTTGAAAGTTTATATGACGGAGCTGTATAAAAAGAAACTACAGGTCTTATTGGGTAATCCGGTTTGTGTAGTTTAATAAAAGAGTATAATTTAGGAGGCTGTGGGTTCATGATATTGAGGTATTTCTGTTCTGTTGGATTTACTATTGGCAATTCGTCGTAAGCATTACGCCCTCTAGCGGCTATTGCAGTAACCGAGTTAAGAGCCATTATTTATTTTCTTTCACGGTGAAGGCCATTTGATTGAAGGCATATTGTGTTTTGGTGTCATTGGAGATTATAATAATAATAATAAAGGTCTTTATTTTTCCTTCAAATTCATACAATACACAAAATATATAAAATTATACATGCATATAATACAATAAGAAAGAAAAAATGCTGAAGATCAGGTGGTGCTGATTTCAAGAAATCAGTACCTCTGCTTTTCATCTTAACCAAGAGAAAAAAAATGTAATATATTTTTTTACATGTTCTGTAACAATCAAATAAAAAACCATAACTAATAGAAACATTTAGCATTTAAATATTGTCCAAGAACTATCACACAGTTTATACATATTTCATAACAGGCCATCAAATAGTTGCACATGTTTTAGTCACTTAGCAATTTAGATTAAGAGATTTCTTAAAAGATATAATCGATTTTAATTTTGTTTATTTAATTGATAGTGTATGTACTTTTGTACATATGATAGAGTATGTATTTTTACTTTCTAGTCCAGAATAGCACTCTTTCCTCAAAAGATGCAGTTGTGCAAGTGAACACTCCAAAAGTGCTTACATTGTATGAAATCGTTAATGACATTAAATTAAAAAACTGTACTTGTGTACATAACTTCACTATTTATAACTGTATAGTAAATATGACTGAAAATTATATTAAGGACAAACGAGTTCATAGGTAAACATTCGACAGCGGATAATGTTAGCTCTTACAAAGTTTAAGTTAAATTTGACTTATGCCACTTTGGGTTCTTTGTTTGGTATAACAGCTGACTTAACAAAAACTTATATTTATAAATTAATACCTATCTTGAGCCACAACTTACGGCCTTTGGTGTATTTTCCCACCAAAGGAGAAATTCTTAAAAACATGTCAGTTTGTTTTGCTGATTTTCAAAATGTTAGGCTAATTTTGGACTGTACTGACATTTATGTACAGACTCCAAGTGTTTGTGTTGCCGAATACTATTTTATTCTCAATATAAATCCCATTTAACAATTAGTTTATGATTGGTGTTTCACCTGGTGGGTTAATAACTTACGTCAGTGAATTTTCCAGTCAAAATAAGATAACCGAGTTTAAAACTTGTTCTCCTTCTACAGCACATCTTGAATTTTTAGTACCACCCAAAAACTTACATATATTCTAAGATATTTAACTTAAGGATTAAAAAATAGAACTTTAAGTTCTTGTTAACTCTTTAACTCTAACAAGTCTATAACTAAAATAAAACTTATAATTAACAAAATTGTCTATGTATTAATCAGTGGGAATAAACAATAGTCAAACAAAAAATATTGAATTTAAAAAACCATGGATAAACGAACAAAACTACTCCAAAAATATAAAACTAACGCAATCGCAATATACAAGATGAGGTGTAAACAATTATTATAATGGCTCTTAGCTCGCTTCAAATTGATACCGCATTGGTGCTGCGATCTTAATCCGAATAGTCAATTGATTTTGAATTACAACTCTAGCTTAATTTGTTTTTGATACTTTTCTGTTGGATCTTTGTATACTGTTTCAATATTTTGATTATTTAAAAAATCTATTGTTTTGTTATTATATTCTATTTCATCTATAGCAATAGTAGTGTTACCTTTGTCTGCTTTTGGAAACACTATGTTGTTTTCTATTGATTTATTTTTAATTGAAATGACTGTTTTATTCTCCTTGTAACAGGAATTTTTGGTTTCACTACACACATGTAATAGATTTTGCAATTATACTTTTTTCGATATTGTTAGCAGTTTTGTTTAATACTACTTCACATTCTACAACAAATATTCTAAAGTTTTCTGATTATTATGTTGAGGCAAGTTGTGTTTAAATCCTTTCTCTAAAAGTTGTATCTCCTTTTACTAATTTAGTATTTGTTAAATTTATAAATCTATATTGAAAAAATTATGGTTCGAAAAACTTTTTGTATAATGAATATTTGGTTTTTTACTATCGCAAATTAGATTATTTAGTTTTTTTTCACTATGTATTGAATTTTTCTAGACATTTAAGAAGTGGAAGTTTTGAAAACAAAGTTTTCAGTGTTTTCTTGTTACAATTCAACAGATCATGGGGAGGTTATTTCAGATTACTATTATCTCAAATATGCCATATAAGCTAAAGATAAAATATGAATTATTAAGTTAGTATTGTGAGTGTAGTAATTTAATTCATGTTTAGCCTACTTTCCTATCACAAAATATAATTTATGAAATTAAAATAATTACTTCATATTCAAATGATTGATAATATAGACCTTACTTACAAAAATTATCCAATTCTTGAAATCCATTTTTATCAACCATACAGAAGTCCTGGATTGCAACATTACTTTTTCTTAAAAGATTTTTACTCTGGTATTCTAGGAGATTTAAACAACGATGAGGTATCTAAAAAGTAGAGAACAATTACTGGAACTTTCTTTGCATCATGTAACTTAAAATTGATTGTAATATGCAGTTAGTAAGTTGTTTTTAAAGTAAATGATTTTGATGGTATTATGAAAAATGATTATTCCTTAGTAGGAATATCATCAAAATTATTTCGATTAATAAAAATTTCCAAAAATTGAATTAGAAATATTGGTTTTAAAAATAATGCCATAATTACAATAGAATTTTCTAGAATTATTTATTTTCATAATTTTTAGAAGCCATTTAATTTTCAGTTGTGTTAAATTTTTTTACTTAATCACATCACCAGTGATAAAAATAATTTAGATACTAATATTAGGATATTACACCTCAAAACAAGTGGTTTGACGAATTATTTATTAAGAAGTACATAAATAAAAATCGAATTTACCTACCAATACGATCTTAACCCATTTTATATCCCCAAAATTGTAAAAGTATTTTCATAAGCTGAAAAATAGTAATAAGGACTTACTTGGAAAATTTCTCTTCGCTTTGTTGCTTTTAATAAAAAATTCCAGTGTAACATTATTGAAATTTAAAAAATCATATAATAGAAATATTTTTGATATAACAATACAGTATTTTTACAAAACTATGAACTTTGAAACTTAAATCACTTAAATTGTTTGATAAAGATTTTAGGTTATGTCGCATAACAACCAGAGTGATATTTGCAACGTTTTTAGCAATGTTTCTCCTCCCTGTTTGGAATAATAGACAAATATTAAAACATTGAAATGTAATATAGAAGAAATTCAAGCAAAGGAAGAATATAGAATTGCTTTTAATATATTTAATTACAATATATCACTGCGTTGCGCCAAATGTAGACAACTTACAGTTCTTGTTGTAGTGATTTTTACGTAATACGAATACCAGATTAACCGGTTGTACTGCGACCAAGTTAATTGTCTTTACTCGCTTATTATCACATATCCAAACGACTACAGTATCTTTTAATTTATTTTCAATTTATAACTTAACGATACAAAGATTCCCCCGTTAAGATAGGCAAAATGCCCTCACTCTCAGAACTCATTTTTTTATGTTCTATTTAATAAAAAAATAAGACTCCTTCAGGATATATAAAAATTGAAACACGTTCAAATTAAAAAAAAATGTTTTTCGATGTGTGTAAGGGTTTTTGCAGGATAAATAATATTTTTGAGATCGAAACAGTTTTTTGGGAGGCTTAAGACGTTTCGCCTAATTTTTCGAAAAAAAAATTATAAACTTATTTCAAATTATACGTAATTTATAAAAAAAATGATTTTATCTACTTTGAAATCTATAAAATGGGGGAAATCCCAAAACCCCTTAGGGGGCTCAACTTAAGGAAAAATCTAGAAAAAAGTCAGAAATATGTTTTTTAATAAAATATACAAAATAAACATATACTTATACATATTTCACTATAATACTACTTATACATACTCAGCCTAAGTGTCTAAGACAATAAAGTTTTTTAAAAGTCTCAAGTATGTGTACATATTCTTTATATAATAAAATATACAATAAAACAAAGTTTTGGGAAAGGAGATTGCCGAGTCTTATTTTTTTATTCACATAAAACGTAATAAAATGAAAAAATTGATTCAGGTCGTATCGATCTTAAAAAATATGATTAACCCAGCAAAAATTCAAAAAAAGAATTTAAAAATAAGATTTTTAATGTTCTAAAGGACTCCAAAGGCGGATCCAACGAGCGAGATAGTCCCTCCCGCTCTCAAACCAAGAGTGATCTAATTTTTTTAATTATATATAAAAACCATATAAAAACATTCAGTTTTCAGTCTACTTGCATTTGGAGGGAGGGACGATAGGCCTTTCCTCGTAACAATGCTAGACCAGAGACTTAAAGGGACAGTCTCATGCGGAACTTTCAAAAAATCAATTTTATTTTTTTTATATAAATCGCTTCCATTTACATTCAAAAACTCCCTCCTAAAATTGTAAAAAGAAATTCCCACTAGAATATAAGTTATAGTTATTTTATTAACGTCATCTACGCACGTATGACAACCGGTTTCTCTCCGCGCGGCGAGCGCGAGGCTCCAGCTGTTCTTGCTTTTGTATATATGTTGTATATACGTTGGGTATGTATTAGTGATTCATTTTTATATAGTATGTATATCAGTATAACGTTTGGCAGTTACTATATACATTTGGAATTTTAAATCCAGAACATAGGATTTTTTTACAAATACAAGATTCTCTGCGTTGCAATTAACCAGTGTAAATTTCTTTATAACTTCGCGATGTTTTATAACTAATTTATTTGTTCCACTGGATTACTTCTCCTCAGCGGTTTGTAGTAGCGTATATGACACGCCGACAGTGTTGCTCCGTCTACCGATTTTTCCTGAAAGTCCGGTTTTGTGCAGATAATAAATAATGTTTTATTAACATCAATTTTGTTTGTGTTCATTAGGTATTATTTGAGTTATAAAATTTATACTTAAATACATTTATTAATCCAAATATTGTTTATAATTTCAAATTAAAAAGAGTGTAATATAATTATTTTATTTTTAAAATTCCTTTTTATTTTTAATTTCAGAAATCAACTTTTTTTCAAGCCGTTTTGGCAATAAAACATAACCATTTTTTTAGTTATAAAATATTTTCATATCTACATTTATAAATAAGTACGTTTTCGTTGAATTGACATGCGATCTAGGTGTGTTCCGTTTTTACACTTACACACTGGAAGCATCGCGGCGTGAATTAACAGTGAGACTCCAGTCAAACAAATAAATTAATTATAAAACATCGCGACGTTGTATTGAAATTTACAGCTTTACAAAGCCATTTACAACACTGTTGGATGAAGACGGTCCTCAATATTCACCAGGAATGGCCGATTAAACGTGAGTATAAAGTTATCAGCCTTTTATTCACGAAAATTATGTAAAAAAACTTTAAATGCTTTTTTCTCAAAAGTAACATTTTCAAACTGGTCAGACACTTTTCTCCGAACCTTCTTAACCGATTTTAAAAAACCAAAAATTTTTCGAATGTATATACAAAATACTAGATGATAAACCTTTAAAATATTTAAAAACCACCCCCCTTTTTATTATATATGGGTAAATCCACCGAAAAATATAGTGATTTTTCGACTTTTTGGAAAAAAAATTCGTATAAACTCTTCAAAATAATTTAATTTACATATTTTAAAGGTTTATCATCTAGTTTTGAGTCTCACGAATACAACCCATTTCGAATTTTTTGAATATCTGTTATAGGTGACCCACAAAGTGTCTTACCACCAAAAACGCACTTTTTACTACACGCCATCTACAGGACACCAATGAAGTTAAAATCGCTATTAAAAATTTTTATTATGTGCTTCAAGACTTACTTAATCATCTCCAAAAGGAATTATGTTAATAAATATTATAGTTTTTTTTTCTGCTTTAATTTTAAAATACGTCTTTTTTTAATTGCATGAGACTGTCCCCTTAAGAACTATTTCAAATTATTTAACCTAGAAAAAACCTTAATTTGCATTATAAAATGCAAATCTCCAAAAAATCCCTAAAAAACCAGGTTTTCGGGTTTATTTCATCGATTTCATCAGAAGAACAAGCGGACTGACACTAATATTGTTTGCCAAGGCCATAAGTACCTGCAACAGATCTTTTTAAAGCCTGACCCGGTAACAAATATCCTCCTAAACTGAACTTTCTTAGAAGCCTAGATCTGTTAGATTTACTCTGGATGTAGAGCATACAAAAAGATCTTACATCTCGCAGAATAGAAAGCTCCACTAGACCAATCGACTCCTTTGAAATATACAAGGAAATTATTTATCTAAACTGAATAACAACTGCTTCGAACAGAAAAAAGAAAGGTAGTACAATAAATTCCAAATAATAGGCCCTAGAAATGCGTAACGCTATATATCAGTAAATTAAACACAAAATTATCTAATAAGATTTTATTTAAATACAAAATAAACTATTAAATTGCCTTAATACAAAAATATAAAATAAATATGAGGTAATGCAAATACTTTTTAATACAAATAGTATTCTTGGTTCTAATAGTAAGCGTAAAAATTATACTATACGCTTTTTTTTAGATAAAAACATGAGAAATCCAGTTTTATACCATATATCTTTGCATAATTTTAAGCTTACATTAGGAATACGATTGATCCATTACAGCTACCTATTAGAATAAAAATAATTAAGTATTGTATGCATTATTTTATAAATCACGTTTTGAGCTACCTATTTGATTGTGTGTGTGAAACAGAATTGAGGGGCTGAGAGGAAAAGTGGTACAAGTGACATTTTGTATAAAAGTGAGATATGTGCATGAGTGGCTAGAGGATGTTGAGATTTATTAATATAAAAATGGTACAAGTACAAAACACACTACAGTACGGACATCTGTATGTGAGAAGTAAAAGCTCTCACCAATTTCTGGTAATGGTTTTCTGTATAAGTGGTCCAAGCGTACATGTCCCACTTTTGTTCTAAACCTTATGTAGTTGTTTGTGACAGCCACGTTTTAAAAGTGTGCAGGAATATTAATACAATTTGTGAAATAGCCTTAAAATAATGCAAGGTAAGTCTTCAATGCGTTTTATATTTTTTCAATTGTTATTTTATAGGGTTATTTTATTTATCTATGTCTTCAAAAAGTAGTAGTTGAAAGAAACTTATAGCATAACCTTAAAATGTTTCTTTTTTGTTTCAGAATCTGACAGTTATTCGGAATATGACGATTCAGAAGAGGACAGAAACTATAATCCAATAGAAGAAAGTAGTAGCGATAGTAATCATGATCTACAAAACATTGCAGATGTTCATTTAAACAAGTCATTAAAGAAAAAGGGCAAAAAACGTTTGAGATATAGCGATTTAGATAAGAGGCAAGTAAGAAAACGAAAAAGAAATGCAGGTGAGGAATACGTAGGCTATAAAAACAAGTTAGTAAAAGCAAGAAGTTTGCAAAATTATATACATACTTGCAGATTTCAGTGTCAAAAATTCACCGATGAACAAAGACAGGAAATATTTAACCAATTCTGGGGTCTAGGAAATTGGAATCTGCAGAATGCATTCATTACGTCTTGTACAGAGATCGCTTTGCCCAAACGACGACGTACAGAAGCTGTTACTAATAAAGAAAAGAGCGTTACTATCAAACTAAAAAATATGAGAGTTTGCAAAATGTTTTTCTTAAAAACCTTGGATATCAGCAATGGACGTTATTCGAGAATTTTAAATGGGATATCTGACGTTGGAATCACCGCTGTTGATAAAAGAGGAAGAGCTCCATGTCCTAATAAACTATCACAGGATGTAATTGATAAGGTAAAACGACATATTGATATGTTTCCAAAATATACCAGCCATTACACCAGACATTACAATCCCCGTAGACGGTACCTTCCTTCATTTTTGACCATAAGAAAAATGTATAAGTGTTACCTAGAGCATTGTCAAGAAAATAACGAAGCTCCTGTCAAGGAATGGTGCTACAGGAGAGTGTTTAATACCGAATTTAATCTAAGTTTTCATCATCCCTTGTCCGATACTTGTAATAAGTGCGATAAGTTCGAAACATCAATAAAATCGTGCATAAGTGAGTCAGATAAAAAGAAAATAATGTGCGAGAGAGAGCTTCATCACCGAAAAGCCGAATCGGGAATACAAGCCAAAAAAGAGGCAAAAATAGTGGCTGAAACTTCAAGGAATGAAGAAGTGGTATCAGTTTGTTTCGATCTACAAAAAACTTTACCTACACCAGCACTTACAACCAACAAAGTGTTTTATATGCGAGTATTATGGACATATAATTTTGGAATCC